CTATGGGAGTCTATGGGGACCCATGGCGGTCTATGGGGTCTATGGGGCCTATGGGAATCTATGGGGGCCTATGGGGATCTATGGGGACCTATGGGGGCACCGCGTGCGGGGGGAGCCTCTGAGGGGGCAGCCGATGGAGAGCACCATGCGGGGCATCGCGGTGTCGGCAGTGCCGGCCCACGGGGTGCCGTGTGGGGCCGGGATCACATGGCGACAGGGAGTGCCCAGCACGGTCCGTCCCGTTATAGCCGATGATCCCCTCACAGCCGCCCCCTTATAGCCGATCCCCGCAGCCGATCCCATTACAGCCGCTCCGGTTACGGCCGATCCCATTACAGGCGATCCCCTTACAGCCCTGCGGCCATGGCCGCTCTCCCTGAGCTTTCTCTCCTGGCCTCGGCCGCCCTCGGCCTCGCTGCCCTCCTCGTCCTCCTCACCCTCCTGCCGCCAGGTCAGCGCCCGAGAGCGGCGGGGCGGCCCGGGGCAGCGGCTGGGTGACGGAACGGGATGGGAGCAGTGAGGGAACGGACAGAGCAGCGAGGAGCACGGAGTGGGACCAGGAAAGGAACAGAGCCTGGGAGCTGTGTGGGGATAGAGAGACTGGAATTGGAACCGTTAGGGAGTGCAGGCTGGGATCAGTGGGAAGCAGGGATTGGATTCAGTGAGGGAATAGGACTGGGACCAGTAAGGGAATAGACACTGGGACCAGAAGGGAATTGGGACTGGAACAAAGAAGGGAATGGAGGCTGGGATCAGTAAGGAGAGCAGACTGGGACCAGCAGGGAATAGAGACTGGGACCAGTGAGGAGACAGCGTGAGACCAGAAAGGGAATACGGGCTGGGATCATAAGGAGGGTAATGTGGGACCAGCAGGGAATACAGACAAGCAGGGCCACCTCCCCTGGGGACGCAGTTGTCCCTGCCACCCCCCCACGCCCCCATCCCCATGAGGGGTGCCACCTCCGTGCCTCAATTTCCCCCCCAACCCTACCAGGCCTCAGAAATCCTCCCCCCTCCTCCCCCATTTCCCATCAAAACATCCCCAGAGGTGGCACTGGACTGGGGAGGGGGGGCTGGGGACAACACAGGGCCACGTCCCCCCCCTCCTTTCCCTAACACCTTCCAGGGCTGAGCAGGGGCCACCCCCAGGTCCGTCCCTCCCTCTTGGAGCCTGATTTAGGGGCTGACGCAGCGGTTGGTGTCACTTTGTGGTGTGACACCGGGGCTGTGCTCGGTGCCACTCCGCCGCCACCTCGCCCCCAACCCCCCCATTGTTTTTTTTTTGCCCCATTTCCCTCTTTTTCAGCCAAGAAGATGGCGCAGCCCCCGAAGCATTGCGGGAGCAGGGAGCACATGGGTGCTGGCAAAGCCATCGCTGTCCTCACCTCAGGAGGGGACGCACAGGGTAAGGAGTGTCCTGTCCCCCAAAACCCACCCCGTGGGATTGCTTTGGGGGGTAAAACAAGCAAAAATGGGGCTTGCATGTTCTTGAATCTTGCTGCTTGTTGCTAGTTGTGTTTCCTTGCAAGGTGTGTTTTTTTTTGGGGGGGGGGTTCCTTGTGGTGGTGTGTGGGGGCCAGGAGGGATTTTATTTCAGCTGTTGCTTTGGAATAATGTGCAACACCGATTTTTCCAATAATGATTTGCAATAGTAATTTACGGTGACATATTCCAGTGACAATTTGCTGCAAGCGGGGGCGGAGGGAGGGGGAAAGGAAGACAAAATTTTGGACTTTCAGGCAGCATAAAGGAAAGCACTAAAAAGCGACAAGATTTTGCCCTAAAACACCCAGACTGAGCCCAATCCTTGCTTTCTGCCTGCAGGCCCTGGGGACGGGGAGCTCAGGGCTTGGGGGCTGTTTTGCTTCACCGCCACCACGCCGTGCCGCCAGCTGTCCCCATCACGGCATCACGCGGCCTCGGCGCCCTAAATGTCAGCAGGGCAAAAATAACCCGCAGCTGCGGGGCCGGATCCGTGCTGGTGGTGGGGGCTGGGGGGGACAACACACACACTGGGAGTTGTGCAAGCTCGGAGTCGGGGAGGAAGGGGGGGACACGATGGCTTTTGGGGTTCCCTATGGCTTGGGGACACCGGTGATGCTCTCCTCTTCCTGCAGGAATGAATGCGGCCGTCCGTGCCGTGGTGCGGGTGGGCATTTACACCGGTGCCAAAGTCTACTTCGTGCATGAGGTTGGTGCCCCCCACCTGGATCCCCCCTCCCCGAAGCCCACAGGGACCCGGTGTCAGCACCACCTTCTCCCCCTGAACAGGGCTACCAGGGGCTGGTGGACGGCGGGGACAACATCAAAGAGGCCACGTGGGAGAGTGTCTCCATGATGCTGCAGTTGGTGAGCCTGGGGGGGAGGGTGGTGACACCCTGGGGAGGGGGGGGGCACAGGGTGCTGCCACCCTGACCTTCTCCGCTGTAACCCAATGCCATGGGGGCAAAGGGCTGAACCTGAAAATAACCCGAAACCGGAGCTGCTCGCCGGTGGGGGCACCATTTCGGGGTGCGGGTGCCCATTTTGTTTGTGGGGGGGGGGCTTTGCCCACAGGGTGGGACGGTCATCGGCAGCGCCCGCTGCCAGGACTTCCGGACGCGCGAAGGACGCCTGAAAGCAGCCCGCAATCTGGTGAAGCGCGGCATCACCAACCTCTGCGTCATCGGCGGCGACGGCAGCCTCACCGGTGCTGACACCTTCCGTGCCGAATGGAGCAGCCTCCTGGCCGAGCTGCTGAAAACGGGTATGGTCCCCCCCCCCCAAAAAATGTCCCCCCTGTTGAGCTCGTAGTGCCTTCCTTTGAACCAAAACATGGGTTTTCCCCACTGGAAATAGCAGGATTTGGGGCAGTTTTGTCCCAAAAGGATGTTTGGTGGGGGGACACAAAGTGGGAAGGGGGTGTCCCACCCCACTTGCTCTCTTTTAGGGGGGATCACGGCGGAGGAGGCGAAGAAGTCAAGCTACCTGAACATCGTGGGCATGGTGGGCTCCATCGACAACGACTTCTGCGGCACCGACATGACCATCGGCACCGACTCAGCGCTGCACCGCATCATGGAGATCGTGGACGCCATCACCACCACAGCCCAGAGGTGACACAGGGACACCCCCACCCCACACCTCAGGGAACGGGGCACCTGCATCCCTGCTCTCTCCATGGGGTGTAACTGAGCTCTGCATCTCCTGCAGCCACCAGCGGACGTTTGTGCTGGAAGTGATGGGTCGTCACTGCGGGTACGTCCCCCATGGTGCCACCAGGGTCTGTCTCCTGACGAAACAGGAAGGGGAGAAGCCCCACACGGCCTCTTTTTTGCACTCCCAGCTACCTGGCTCTCATCACCTCCCTGGCCTGCGGTGCCGACTGGGTCTTCATCCCCGAGTCCCCCCCTGAGGATGGCTGGGAGGACCACCTGTGCCGAAGGCTCACAGAGGTGGGGCAGGCTGCAGTAGTGTGCCCTGTGCCTGTCCCCATCCCCACCTTTATCCCTGTACCTGGCCCTGTCCTCGTCCCCATCCTCATCTCCATCCCCATCCCTGTTTTGTCCCCATCTTGGACACCATCCCCATTTCCTTCCCTGTCCCTATTTTGTCCTTATCCCCATCTCTGTTCCCATCACTGTCCCCATCTTCATCTCCTTTCCTCTCCCTGTTCTGTCCCCATCTCTGTCACCAACCCCATCTCTGTCCCTATCCATATCCTGGTCCACATCCCTGTTCCCACTGTCACCCCCTTCTCCCCCAGACCCGTTTGGGTGGCTCAAGGCTGAACATCATCATCGTGGCCGAGGGTGCCATCGACAGACACGGCAAGGCCATCACCTCTGACGAAGTCAAAGATGTGAGCGGGATGAGGGGACCCCCATTTCTTCTCCCACTGTTGGTCCCAGCAGAGTTTGGGCACCCCATCCCCATGCCAACCCTGCTGTCTTGCAGCTGGTAGTGAAGCGTTTGGGCTACGACACCCGCGTCACCATCCTGGGCCACGTGCAGCGCGGTGGGACGCCCTCCGCCTTCGATCGCATCCTGGTAGGCAGCACCATCCCTCCTGTGCCCATCCCAGCTGAGCAGGGCCGTGGTGACATCCCCATCCCTGTCCCTATTTCTGTAGGGCAGCAGGATGGGAGTTGAAGCCGTCATGGCCTTGCTGGAAGGGACCCCTGATACCCCCGCCTGCGTCGTCAGCCTCTCAGGGAACCAGGCTGTGCGCCTGCCCCTCATGGAGTGCGTGCAGGTGGTGAGTGCAGGGTGGGGGGAGTGGAGCAGCCTAGGATGCAATGGAACTGCAGTGCAAACTCAGCCACTGCAGTGCAAACCTGGCCGGTATAGCACAAATCCAGCTGGTGCAGCAAACTTGTTCAGTGCAAACCTGTTTGTCTCTGCTCCCTGCAGACCAAAGATGTGACAACGGCGATGAATGAGAGACGCTTCGATGACGCTGTGAAATTGCGGGGCAGGTGAGCATCCACAGCTCGTCCCCTGTTGGGGTCACGGGGCTGCAGCCATCCCCAGCACTCCCTCATCCCCTTATTTTTCCTCCCCTTCCCTCCCCACTTTCCCAGGAGTTTCCAAAATAACTGGAACGTCTACAAGCTGCTGGCACACATCCGCCCACCCTCCACCAAGGTAAGGAGGTGGAATGGGGTGTGGAGGGGCCACACTGAGCCCCCCCTGACGCTGTCCCCTCACCCCACAGAGCGGTTACACGTTGGCTGTGCTCAACGTGGGTGCTCCAGCTGCTGGCATGAACGCGGCAGTGCGCTCCACCGTGAGGATTGGACTCATCCACGGGCACAGGATGCTGGCAGTGCACGACGGCTTCGAGGGGCTCGCCTCTGGGAATGTGCGAGGCCAAGGGGGTGCACGGGGTGGGGGAAGGGCGTGCATGGGGAAAAGGGATACATGGGGAAAGGAAATACGTGGGGAAAGGTGATGCATGGGGATGGGAGCACACAAAGGAAGAGGAAACATAGGGATGGGGGTGCACGGGGAAAGTTGCAGCCCTAAAAGCTGCAGCCCCCAGGAGGGGGATCCCTACCCAGCGGGAGGTTTTGCACACCCCACAGCCTTGCACGCACGGGGGTACTGTGATAGCGACGTGCTGCGTGCTGAGGGTGGTGCATATCAAAACCTTTTGTCCCTCAACACAAATTCCTTATTGCTGCTTTCCCCCACTCCTGCCAGGTGGAAGAGAGCAGCTGGGATAAGGTTGGCGGCTGGACAGGTCTGGGGGGATCCAAACTGGGGACGAAGAGGTAACGCTGTCCTGTGGAAGTCTGGGTGCGGGGGCCCAAGCGAAGCCCACCCCCGGAGGCTTTATCCTCCCACGCTTCGGCCAGGACCTTGCCCAAGAAATACTTTGAGGAAATCAGCGCCACCATCAGCAACTTCGGCATCCACGGGCTGATCATCATCGGGGGCTTTGAGGTGAGTGGGGTGGCATGGGACTGCGGGGCACCTCCTGGTGCCGTGCCCCTTACCCCCCATTCCCTCAGGCCTTCATGGGCAGCCTGGAGCTGATGGAAGGGAGAGCCAAGTTCGACGAGCTCTGCATCCCCATCTGCGTCATCCCCGCCACCGTCTCCAACAACGTCCCCGGCTCCGACTTCAGCATCGGCGCCGACACCGCCCTCAACACCATCACCACGGTGCGGCTCCTGTAACCCCCTGTGGCACACAGCCCCTGATCCCCGCTTATAATCAAACACCCCCCAACCCAAACCCCTTCCTCCTGCCCCACAGACCTGCGACCGCATCAAGCAGTCGGCGGCGGGGACCAAGCGGCGCGTCTTCATCATCGAGACCATGGGCGGCTACTGCGGGTACCTGGCCACCATGGCGGGGCTGGCGGGCGGTGCTGATGCTGCCTACATCTTTGAGGAGCACTTCAGCATCCGTGATCTGCAGGTGGGGACCCAGCAGCATCGCCATGGGGCTGGGAGGGCTGCATTTATCCCCTAACCGACCATCACGGCAACGCCGCAGGGATGCAGGTGTTGCATTTATTCCTTCCAAAAGCCAAGCCTCGAACACCTCTTTTTCTCATCCCTAGATCAACGTGGAGCACTTAACCGAAAAGATGAAGACGACAGTGAAGCGTGGGCTGGTGCTCAGGTAAAGATGAGACCATGGAGGAGGGGTTGGAAGGGCCCATCGGCTGAGCCCCGTACGCTCGAGCCGCCCTGACCCCCACTGCCTCACACAGGAATGAGCACTGCAACGAGAACTACACCACTGACTTCATCTACAACCTCTACACAGAGGAGGGCAAAGGCATCTTTGACTGCCGCAAGAACGTGCTGGGACACATGCAGCAGGTATGGCTGTGCTGTGAGCTCCCAGCAGTGGGTAGGAGCCCCTCGGTCACAGCTCCCCCACCACCTGCTGCCATCTCCCCCTACAGGGCGGCTCCCCGACCCCCTTCGACAGGAATTTTGGCACTAAAATGGGTGCCAAGTCGGTGGCTTGGATCACTGGCAAGATCAAGGAGTGCTCCCGGCATGGTGGGTCCTGGGGGGGCATAACCAGGGGGCTCCCATCTGCATTTGCAAAGCCCCCTCGCCTTTCTGCAGCCACACTGCAGATCACCAAAAGCAAACCTCAGCTCCTGCCCCAGCTATGCACGCATGCTCACGCTTCCTGCTCCTCTATTTCAAAGCAAAGCACTGCTGTGCTCTGTGGGCTTGGGTTCTGCTGCCCCCCCTCAGGGGGGCTGTGATGCTGAGCCCATTCTGGGTGCTCCTTGCAGGTCGTATCTTCGCCAACACAGCCGACTCTGCGTGCCTGCTGGGCATGCGCAAACGCAGCCTGGTCTTCCAGCCCCTCACTGAGCTCAAGGAGCAGACAGACTTCGAGTAGGTGCCCACCATCCCCCCCTCAGCACTGCCACAGGAGCACGATGCTGGGTTCACACCGTCCTCTCTCCAAACCCCCAGGCACCGCATCCCCAAGGAACAGTGGTGGCTGAAGCTGCGCCCCATCCTGAAGATCCTGGCCAAGTACAACATCGAGCTGGACACCTCGGAGAAGGCACTCATGGAGCACGTCAGGCAAAAGAGGATCTCGCAGGAGTACAGCATGTGAGGGAGGACCCTCTGAACGACCCCCCCCAAGTTCCCCGCAGCATCTTCACTTTTGAAAGAGCAATTCTGCCAAAACTGAGGGTTTCCTCAGGGTAATTTTGGGCTGGCTTCGATCCAGCCAGATGTTTTATGGGCTTTTGAAAGAGAAAAGCGTTCTGCGCGAGCGGCTCGCGTTGTGGCAGGACATTGCATTGACCTAAAAGCAAGGGTCAAGTCTGTAGGGCATCACTTTAGTTTGAAACTCAGAATTGTGACGCTTCAATAAAGCAGCACCGCTCCGTGGTGGTGACAAACACAAACTGTGCTCACACTCTCACCCACCAGCAGTAGCACTCATGGCTGCCACGCACGCACAGCCCTAAGAACAAAACCTTACATTCTCCATCAGAGTAATTATCCATATTTACCCTTCTCACCTCCCCTCTGGGAGCTCGAGGCAGCTCTCCAAAGGATTCTTAGGTGACAGACGAGAAAAGGGCACAATTCTGCTCCCACTGGGTGTGCAACACAAAACCTTCCAGAGCGTGGCTTGCAAGGAGCCATTTATTTCTGTGGACAGAAGCTGGGGACAGATGAAACACAGAGCAGGCAGCAGCTCTGCGTCCTCAGCTGCAGCCCTGCGTCTTTCTGCCACGCAAGGAGCTGCTGCCCCTGCCTCCAAACACACACATTACACACACATATCAATAAAAGCAGCCCTGGAGCAGTGAGCTGGCAGTGCAAAACCAAACCCAGAACTTGGATGGGTTCTTGGACGGCAGATCAGATGTGAAGCTCTCACTCAGGACCATCCTGTGCTCGTAACAAAGCCGCTCGGGACAGCAGGGAATAGTTTCCTCTTTTTGCAGGAGTTGTGGCCAAGTTTCTGATGAGGGGGCAGTGAGCACAGGGCCCTGTTCACTGCTCAGGCATCTGTCAGGGCACTTCCTCACTCCTCAGCCCTCACACCATCGGTGCCATGAAGGGTTTTCTCCTGCAAGCACAGCAATCCCTAGGGCTCCCCACCTTCTCTCTTTCCCTAAGGCGCTGATTCTCCCTGAATACATCCAAAAAAAATCACAGATATGGGAGTGAACAAAGCTCTCCTGGGTGCCAGCAGGGGGGTCCCACGTCTGCCCCGGCGCTGTGTGCAGCAAGGAGGGTGTGGGTGCTCGCTCCAAGGAACAGACTCACATTGCATGTGCTCACCCACCGGGCCTCTCCGCATCCTGCAGTGCTTCGAGTCTTTCAGAAAGGGGAGATTTCTCCGTTCTCACCCAGAAAGCCTTGCTTTCCCCAAGGCCTACCCCAACGGAAAGAACAGCTTAATGCAGCAGGTGGGATGGAATTCACCATTTGTTAAAGGGAGGACAGTTCATTTGACAAGGCTGAAAAAACAGAGAAGGAGCTCGCGAGGGGCAAGCGCTGCAGGCAAGGAGAGGACACGGCGCCTGTCGGTGGGTCCCGCTGTCCATCCAGCGCCCGCCAGTCACACAGCAAGCAGTGAATTCACACCCATGGCTGCCCCGTGCCTAGCTGAGGAGCAGCACGTACTCCTTCAGGCAGGTGGGCAGAGGCAGCTGCTCCACGGCCTCGGGCAGGAAGCGCACACCCAGGCTGCGGCGCACGGCGTAACGCGACAGGGTCTGCAGGGTGCCGGGCGCTGAGCAGAGCAGTGTGAGCTTCTCGCAGAGCTGCTGGTCCCTGCTCACCTCCCAGGGCATGCTGCCGTTCTTACGCAGCTCAAAGTGTCCGATGGCGCGGTGCAGGAGGTCGAAGCAGGAATCCTCGCGCTCCGTGCCCAGTCCCCGCACCAGCAACGCTACCAGTCGCGAGATGGGGGTCTGCCCTTTTAAATTGACCACCCGCACCTCGGCCCCGAAGTCGAGCAGGATGCTGACGCTCTCCAGGTTGCCCTTCATGGCGGCCCAGCTGAGCGGCGTGTCGTCGTTGTAGTCGCGGGCGTTCACCAGGGCGCCGTTCTCCAGCAGTGAGCGCACGCACTCAGCCGTGTTCTTGAAGGCTGCCCAGTGCAGCGGCGTGTCCTTGTTGCCATCCAGGGCGTTGGGGTCGGCTCCGTACTCCAGCAGGATCTCCACGCAGGTCTCGTCCTTCTCGGCTGCGTAGTGCAGGGCCGTGCGGTTGTAGCCGTCCAAAGCATTGACCTGCAGGAGGGAAGATGCACAGTGACTGATACCAGCACAGCACAAAGCCCTCCCTGCACCCCATGGAATGGTTGAGTTGGCAAACTCGAAGCCCCCCCCAGCTGCACCCCTGCCCTGGGCTGCTGCTCCCATCAGACATCCAGACCCCATCCACGGCTCTGAGCACCTCAAGGCTGGGGCACTCACAGCTCTCTGGGCAGCAGTTCCAGGGCCTCACTGCCCTCTCAGTGAAAAACTTCTCGCTGACATCTAACCAAAACCTTCCCCCTTTTCCTATTGCTGCAACCTCCCCATGTAAAAAGTTGCTCTCCCCTGTTTCTAAGCTCCTTCTAAGCACTGGAGGGTCTCCCCAGGGCCTTCTCTTCTCCAGGCTGGACACCCACTGTTCCTTCAGCCTTTCCTCATAAGAGGCGCTCCAGCTCCTGAGCATCTTCATGGCCCTCCTCTGGACTCTGGTCATGTTTCTCCACAGAATGAGAAAATAAGGCACACACAAGGTGGAGGGTGCAATCTACCAGCTGCCAAAATTCAAGGAGGAAACCCAGAGCATTTAATGCCACTTTCAGGCTTTCACCAAAAGTCTGTTTTCAAGCAGGCACACTTAAAATCTCAGGCAAAACCACTACTGAGATGTTGGAATTGCTCCCATGCTCGTGCACCTTCACCCAAACCCATTCTACTCTAGAAGAGAGCAGAGCAGCTGCCACCAAGACAAAGCACAACTCTGGCAGCACTCAGAATCGATGGTTCCACCTTGCTAAGGAAGCAAAGAGTCCAGCACCACGACACCATGGCTCCATTCCAAAAAGGCGTTTACCTCTGCTCCCTTCTGCAGCAGCAGCTCCACGCAGTCGGCGTCAGCCACCATGCAGGCGCAGTGCAGCGGCTTCAGAGTGCCATGCATGCAGTTCACATCCGCACCCTGCAGAAACACAGCGAGCACGCGGGGTCAGAGAGCCTGGACACCCGTAAGTCATATCGCCAGGTGGCCAAAGAAAATTGGTCCTCTTGGCCAGCAGGGCGCGCTTCTGGCTCGTAGTTACTCCGTTGTGCGCCCACCCCCCTTCTGGTGGGGAAACTCTTCCCTATTCCCCCGTCACCGACTCTCTCCTGAGGCAGCTCCACGCCGTTACCTCGGGCCCCGCCGCCGTCACGGAGAGCAGAGCCCAGCGCCGCCCCTCCGCCGCCCCGTGAGGAGCCGCAGGCCGACACGAGGCCTCGGCACAGCCGCCCCTTTATTAACGGGGACGGTTCGGGACCCCCCCCCCGCTCACCCGTCCGATCAGATCCTCCACGTTGTCCCTCGGAAAGGAGCGGATGGCGGCGATGGTGCGGATGAGGCGCTCGGACAGCGAGTATTTGCTCTGCACGCTCTGCATGATGTACCACATCCTGCGGGCCGCCCGCCCGCCCGCCGCCGCCCCGCCAGGCCCGGCCCGGCCCCCGAACCCCGAGCGGCGCCGGGGCGGGGTGGGACGACGGGCAGCGGGTACCGGGGGAGGGAGGAGTTCGGTACGGAGGAGACGCGGCCGAGGCGCGGCGAGGTCCCGGAAGCCGGGCCCCGGAACCGGCGCAGACTCTGCAAGGCCCAGCTGGAGGCGGAAGTCGCCGCCGCTACCCGGAAGTGAAAGGCGAAAGCGGTCGCGCATGCGCAGATGACTCCTAACCTCGCTCCGCTACCCTCTTCGCCAATCAGCGCGCGCGTTGTCCCTCTAAGCTCCGCCTTCCCGTCAGTCCCGCCCTCGCGATCCGAGTTCCTCCAATCGCCAGGAGCCGCCCCTCGCAGTCCCCGCCCCCAGCCGGCTCTCCGCCAATCATCTCTTCCTGTGTTCTCCCAGCGGGTGCCGGGGGCCCCAGTTGGGGGGTTCGGGGGTGCGGGGCGTCGCTGGGCAGCGGCCGTCCGTGGGGCTGGGGGGGAGGGGGACAGCGGGGGGGGGGGGGGGGGGGGGTGACTCCGGGTCACTGTGTTGGGTGACACCGGAATGTCCCTGTGTTCCTATAAGGGTGACACATCCTTATAGGGTTTGGGTGTCACCACGTTGGGTGACATTATACTGGGTGACAATGGGACCAGTTCACACCAGCGGCTCCCAGTCCCACCCTTTCTCCAGGCCGTGGGGCCAAGAGTGGGTCAAAGCACCGGGACTTGGAGCATCCCGATGGCACCCAGACAGCGACCAGCTGTGGGGAGCACTGGGATGCACTGGGAAATGCTGCTGCGTGCACTGGGACGTACTGGGATGCAATGGGATGCAATGGGATACAATGGGATGCAATGGGAATGCTGGGTGCGCAGGGAAGTACTGGGATGCAGTGGGGTGCAGTAAGAAGTACTGGGGATGTTATGATATACTGAGATGTACTGGGACACGCAGGGTTGTACTGGGCGCACTGGGATGCACTGGGATACTATGGAAAGTGCTGGCTGCACTGGGACACACTGGGATGCAGTGGGAAGTACTGGGATGCACTGGGACACACTGGGATGTACTGGGACACACTGGGGTGCAGCAGGACGCACTGGGATGTACTGGGACACACTGGGATGCTGTAGGAAGTGCTGGGATGCCCCCATGTCACCCCCCCTTCCCCCCCCAAGCCCCATCAGCTGCAAACATGGATGGGGGCAGAAATGACGTCCCTGCACCCCCTCCGTCCCCAAGCGCACAGCACCGCGCTGTGTGTGGGGGGGGTCTCCAATTCCCCCATAACCCCCTCTGAATCCCCCACCCCCTGCCACCATTCACGAATAGGGACCCCCCGCGTTCCCCCCTCAGCCCCCCCCCCCCCCCCCCCAGCACCACGCGGGGCCGCGCGCCGGGGTCCCCCTCAACCCCCGGCTGGGGGGGGTCTCGTCCCCGTCCCCACTGCGGGTGGGTTGTATTTTTTGGGGGGGAGGGGGGCGGTCGGGGGACAAGAGCTGCGCCATCGCTGGAGCCCCCACTGCCGCCCCCTGGCCCCGGTGAGCTCAGGGGGGAGGACGCAAAGCCGCGGTGTGAATGCGGGGGGGGGTCCTGGTGCTGCGGACGATGCTTGTAACCCCCCTCCCCCCACCTCCCGCCCGGTGCTCACCCCATTTCTTTGCTTTGCTTTGCCCACCCCCGCCGCCCGCCGCCCCCCAGCAGTGTTTCCGAGTCTGAGCGTGATGGATGCAGAGGGGGGGCCCTCCAGCCCGGACCCCCCCCGGGACCCTGAGAGCACCGCCACAGGTGAGCCCCCCCTCCCCCTCCCCACTGGATCGGGCCGGGAAGCTGAGGGGGGTCCCACGCGTGGGGGTGGGGGGGGGTGACCCGATTGTGGGGCACTTTGGGTCGGGGTGGGGGGTCCTGGAGTGCTCCGATCCCACAGTGTGGGGGTGTCCCAATGCTGGGGGGTGCAGGGTACCCGCATCCCATAATATGGCAAAACCTCAATCCCACAGCGTGAAGATGCCCTGATCCCATAACGTGAGGATGTCCCAGTGCCTCACGGTGTGGGGAGACACCAATTTTAGGGCACAGGGATGTCCCCAAAGCAGGGGGGGGGTGGGGAGGGGGTAGAGGGGATGGAGAAAATGTGGAAAAGGGATGGGAATGGGGTGGGAGGATTGGGGATGGGGTGGGGAGGATGGAGAAGGGGAAAGAAGGGTGGAGGGGGTGGAAAAGGGACAGGGAAGGGGCAGAGGGGACAGGGAAGGTGGGAATGGGATGAAGAGTGGGATGAAGGTAGGGATGTCAGGGTGGAGTTGGTGGAAAAGGGATGGAGAAGGGGCAGAGGTCACGGAAGTGATGGGGAAGGGGAAGAGGGGATGGAAATGGGGTGGAAAAGTGGGACAATGCGAAGGGGGTGGAGAAGGGGAAGAGGACATGGAGAGGGTGATGGAAATGGGGCGGTAGGGATGGAGGGGCTGCAAAGGGGACGGGGATGGAGAGAAGGGAACAGGGCAGGTGCAAAGGGGATGGGAAAGGCACGAAGGGGACGAAGAAGGTGTAAAGGGGACAAAGAAGGCACAAAGAGGATGGGGAAGGGCTGCGGGGGTCACAGCCCCACATCTCGGAGCCCAGCCCCACTCTTCCTGCAGCCCATCCCGGCAACGCGGCACCGGGTCGCCCTGCAAAGCGACGTCGGAAAGCAGCAGCAGCAGCAGCAGCGCAGCCCCGGAGCAGAGCTTTGGGGCACCAGCGGGCTTTGGGGCCTTTGGAGGAGCTGCTGGGGTTGCGGGGCGGCCGCCTGCGCCCCACCATCTGCGGGGAGTGCGGGAAGGGCTTCAGCCGCAGCTCGGACCTGGTGCGGCACCGCATCACCCACACCGGGGAAAAACCCTACACCTGCGGGGCCTGCGGGAAGGGCTTCAGCCAGAACTCCAACCTGGTCACCCACCAACGCATCCACACCGGGGAGAAACCCTACAGCTGCGGGGCCTGCGGGAAGCGCTTCAGCGAGAGCTCGGCGCTCATCCAGCACCAGCGGACCCACACCGGGGAAAAACCCTATTGCTGCGGGGAGTGCGGGAAGCGCTTCAGCGTCAGCTCCAACCTCATCCGGCACCGGCGCACCCACACCGACGAGAAGCCCTATATCTGCGTGGAGTGCGGGGAGGGCTTTCGCCACAAATCCCAGCTGCGCCGGCACCAGAAGCTGCACTCGGCGTAGTGGGGACGTGGCTTTAGGATGGGGACGCGGCTTTAGGGATGGGGACCCGGCTTTAGGGATGGAGATGTGGCTTTAGGATGGGGACGTGGCTTTAGGGATGGGGAGCAGCACTGGTCACGGTCCCCTCATCCGCGTTCCCACAGTGGGGACTGTGGGGTGGGTGTGCGGTGCTGGACCCGGCCCCCCACCCAGAAACCCCAAAAGCAGGATGGGGTGTTGGAAGAGGGAACGTAACGGGGCGGTCGGGACTGCAGCCCAAACCAATAAAAGGTGCTGGAGCTGCACTGCCTGGCCGGGGTCGTGCTGTAGGGCAAGTGATGGGGCTGTGCTTTGCATGGGATGGATCAGTAGGGATGGATTTTCCAGTTCTCCCAGTTGGAGAGTGTCGTGCCAGTGGGAATAGCACCCACAGGGTGGCACACGCCTGCACGTGCAGCTGGTGTTGTGGGGTGGGGATGGGGATTGGGGTGGGGATGGGGATGGGGATGGGGATGGTGT